TCAGGTCTCTGAATGATTTTTAGTCTTGTCTCCTCTGGATGTGTTTTGCCATACCTGACATAAGAAACCCTTTTAATTCACTGGTACTGTATATGACTATAGAAAAGAAAGTTTGGTTGAGATTTGCAGCCTAGAATTTTAATGCTTTACCCTGTTTGTTTCCTGAATAAAATCATAACATTGAGAAGAGATAGGATGGGGGGAGCAATACTGATGATAGTATTACCTAGGGCTGTGTGAAGCTTCAGTTGCTGATTTGATTCAGAGGAGATTCGCCCCGATTCAGCGGCCAAATCTCTGAATCCAAATAAAATCAGGAAACCCATCCAAATTGAATCAGAAGCCTCCAATGTGATTTGGAGAGATTTGGGGAGATTCAACGATTCAGCCATAGACACAGCTTTATATGTTTTTTCTACATACCTCAAGGTACCAGGTGCAGCTCCTGAATTCTGAAATGGTGGGGCGGATGGAGCGTCCCCCACATGCTCGGCAGCAGACCCAGAAGTGGGCCAGAAGTACTTTCGGTCCACTTCTGAGTCTGCTGCGAAGTGTGCGGGGTACTCCCCACCCCTGGCTCAGCAACTAGTGCCTCCTGGGTTTTGGGGAGCACCCAGGGTACCCCCACAGTCAATTGCTGAGCCAGGGGAATGTGAGTGGGGGTCCGCCGCTCCCGTGGGGTGCTCCATCCGCCCTACCATCTCAGCGTTCACAAACCGCACCTGGTACCTCAAGGTATATAGAAAAAACATATAAAGCTGTGTCTATGATTCTCCAAATCAGAATTGAAACTTCAGATTCAGCTGAATCGAATCAGAACAGTGACCCGAATCAGTGAATCAAATCACTGTCCCCATATCGCCGAATCTGAATCAAATACTTCCTGCTTCGCATACCCCTAGTATTAGCCAAACCAACCCCCTCAAAAAGCTCAGAGATAAATTTTTGAGTGTAGCTATGAATGCCACCTAAGCTCAGTTAGTTGAGAGGGCTCTCCCTGGATGAAGATTATCCTGAGCTCTGGCAATAAGATAAAGTTAGCTGTTGCTCACAAATGCTTATGCATCTCCTATTCAGTTAGTCTACGAGGTGCAACTCTATCCTGCCTTCTGTCTAGGGTGGCCATTGGTCCCATTTGATACTGGGCTTTCCTCTGTTTTTAAATTACAAAAGTCTTGTTTTCACTTCATTGATGGAAATACATATCAATTATTTGTTCTTGCAATTGTGTTAGTTGTCTCTAGAGGTAGGGCAGTGCACAGCCAGGAGGAGCACAGAGGAACGGTGGCCAGGGAGGGAGGAAGGTGACCCTTTTGTGGTGTCCCTGCCCCTTGCTGCTGATTGGCCAGTGCAGCAGGCCCTCCCCTCACCTTGGTGCATCCCCCTGCACCACCCACCAAGGGGATGTGTCAGTGGCCGCCCTACTTCTGTGCAACAATAAGAGAGAATACCATACTACTAAAGGAGGGCATTTTTACCCCTTTCTCTTAATTCTGTCATTCCCAGGGTCAGGGCAGAAGAGGCCATACACAGGTATTTTTTAAAAGACGATAACCAATTTCTGTCACCCTCTTAGAACTGCATAAAGGGGCTATTGCTGAACTTGAACTGTAATGATTCCTACAGTTTCTTCACAGGCAAAAAGGTCCTAAGTAAGGTAGATGTATTTTTTTTTTAAATATAACAACATTCTTTGAAGATTATTTCATTTCCCTTTTCAAAATGGACCAAAGATTTCAATTTAGGACATTTTCAAAGAGTATTTGCCTTTTTGCTCCTCTTTTTAAATGGTAGGAAAGTTCAGTTTTTAAAATGAAAAAAATTGGCTTGTTGTTTTTTTGGAGGTTTTAAAATAAATATTAAATCCAATCAACATTGACCATGGGGGGAATAAAAATCTCCAAAGTATTAATTTTTGTGTACAGCAACATATACAAACCAGAAATGATAAATAGCAAATCTGAAAACTGGAACATTCAAAACAATGATCATGTTCTCACAGCAACTTTTCTTTTACAAAGTCCATTTTCATTAGAAAACAAAACAACAACAAAAAACAAATTTACTTGAAAACTGGTTTATTGTCCCTACCCTACTATGATAGCTATAGTTACATATATAGGGGAGCCATGTCAAGAAGCATTCTCCCTGTTCTGCATTTCCAAAAAGACTTTTGTTTTGCTTGTTTGTTTGTTTGCATTTTGCAGCAAGCCAACCTTCTGTCTGGCTAGGTAAATATACTGCACAGCCCGCTTCTGCAGCTATCTGGTGGCTGTATAGATTGAAGGGAGGTGTAAGGTTCTGACTGCATAATGCTCTAAACACACAGGACGAAGGGTTCCTTATCTTATAAATACACAATGATGTACTTTTTTCCCAAATTAGTATTATTTACTAGATAGTCTTTAATAGCTCCTTTAAGGACATTATCATGTATTATGTCGGGGCCTGTACTTGGAGAATTTTTAGCTTGTGGATCATTGACCCAATAAAATTCAATAGCACCTTTAAAGTGTTACAACATATCAGGTCACTGAGAGATCGGAGAGGGCAGGGGGAGGGAATAAGAGTCTCGTGCATTAATACCTCTTGTTAAGAACCCTGCTGTAATGTCTGATGGAGAAAATGTATTGTTCATACCCATCTGTCCCAGCTGTTCCTAATAAAGAGAATAAAGCTCATTTGTATAGTACATGAGATTATTGCTTTCTATGAGGTAATAGAATTTATTTTTGTATAAATAAAATGTTATTTAAAAGTAACAGAAGATTTTGTGAGTGTGACTGTTTATATAAATATATACTGCTTATTAAGTTAACTTCAGATCTATGTTCAGGTTTTGGAAGAGGAGTGGGAAAAAGTAAAACAACATTCCAGGAAGGATCTAGAATTATTATCTAATCTAGCTGTATTGCACTCATCACTCTGGTACCTGAGCACTTGAGGTTTATTACTACTGAATATTGGTTACTATTACCATATGCTGCTATTCAGGTGTAGCATATACCATATGCTACATTATATCTTCCCTGTTATCTCCCAGCCTAATATTAAGGAACATTAAACCTAGGGCAGTTGTTCCTAAGAGTCATTTATACATGCAAGGTTGACACATTAAGAATAGTTTCTATACAGTGGTGATTCTCCTTTGGAATCTTCTTTATAGATGCATTAAATATAAATTTGTTTCTTTTTTTACCTTTCCAAATTAATTTTTGTTCAAGAGAAAATTAGACAATGCGTTGTGCTTCTGTAGCACCTTTGCTTTTATGGATTTGAAATTTCTTAACAATGTAAGTTGATTAAAGTTCACACACCCTTTTTGACATGGATGATCCTTTTCTCTTTATATTGAGCCAAACTAAATGTGAAACATCTTTGTGGTTGGTTTGCCCTATTTATTGCATGATAAATTGGTTGACTCCCTCACATGTTAAATTTATCTTGCAAGTCACATGTTAAACATGCAATAACTGAAGCATCTGCCAGGGCTTTAAGAATATGTACTTGCTGCATTGTAAACTCAACCAGTATCTTGAATTTTGCCCTTAGGCTGACTCCCATACAATGTCAGAAATCTCTGGGTGGTTGGGATAAAGCTTGAGCGCTGCAGACACTAGACACTGGAGCTAGGAATTCAGCAAGGACAAGGACACAGCAACTCAGAGTCGCAGCAACTCTCCAACAGCTAAACAGTCACTTTGGGCGTGTCTACATATGCACTTTAATGTGCATTAGCCTATGTTAATGTGCATTAAAGCATCACAAAAAACCTGTGCCCTTTTGCAAACGTGCATTAAAATTGGATCATGCACATTTTTCTAGTATCTCACAATGAAGATATTAGATCTATAGCACATTACTTAAAGTTCATTAATGAATGTGTAGAAGCATCCTTTGCGCTGCTAATCTGGTTTGTGCAGCTCCAGTGTTGTTTTGTGATATGGTCACTCCCATTTGGACTAGCCTAGCTCCTATCTAGGAACACCCGTGTGCTAACTGTAGCCATCTGTTACAGTGAATATATAAAAGTCCTTTATGTCCTGGAAAGTGTTTTGCAGCCACAGTCCTCTGGGCTGAATAGAGAAGAAGCCGCCTGTGGCCTGGTTTTCTTTTCTTCTAGCCTTCTGTGTAGAGGTTGGATAACATTGCTGAATAGCTATTTAACTAAATGTTACCAGCTTGGTTAGCAACTTAAGCTAAACTGATAAAACTCTGAAGCTATACTGGCTTATATTTATCATTAATAAAGCTTTGAAGGAGCTTAACTTGATTTTTAAATCCATTTAGTTAAACCAGTACACTTTCTTAATATAGACAAGACCTTCGCCCTAAAGAGTTATCACATTTCTTGAGTTCAAGAACTCTCATTTTGTGATTAATAGGTTAAGGATTGAGAGAGAGGCTTCTTGTGCCCTTTCTTGCCGTCTCTGTTGCAAAGACACCCAGGGGCCAAATGGAATCCTGATGCAAGTGGCAATATTGCAAATCTACTTTAAACTTGCCTACTCCAGGACAGTCAGGAAAGAGAAAACTAATTAGCTAAAGCTGTGAAATTCATGCACAGAAATTAAAAGTAGGTTAAAGCTCTGTGTGGACACTCTCGCACATTAATTTTACATCTATAGTTGGCTAATTTGTCATACATTTCCAGAGTGCCTACAGGTGTACAAGACCCTATGTTGTAAGTACTTTTGAGGCAGGAATTTTCTTTTTGCTCTGAATTTGTACAGTACCTGGCACAATAAGATCCTGATTCTTGGCCAGGGTTTCTAAGCAGTGCTGCCATCCAAATAATAAATCTGCTCAGAAATGATTTCTTAATAACATTCTCTGGCATAATCAATGGAAGTGAAAATAAGTGTTTTTAGGCCGTGTTATTTGTAAGGCAGGAAAAGGGGGCTTCCTCTCTGCTTAGAAAGATGCTTATGTGTTTGCATACCACTACAGTCCATCTGCCTAAAATTTAACAACTTGATTTGGGTTTTATTTTTCATTAGATCTTCGGAAGACTTTTGAACAGGAACCCCTGGGGAAAGAAGTGTCTTTGGAACAGGAAGTCCTGCTCCAGTGCCGTCCACCCGAGGGCATCCCAGTAGCTGAGGTGAGTGACAACAGATTCCAGCACTAGCAACTGACATTTAGTTATCCTAACTGAAGCCTAATCCATGGCTAATGGTGCAGTGAATTAGGGTATGGCATGATGAATGGGTAGTAATGGAGACCTAACTGCCTGCTGCTGGTAGAAGAGATTGATTGAAAACTGATTAATGACATTGGAGTCCATTAGAATGCGCCATCGGACAGAGCTACGGCAGTTCAGTTTTATTTGTTGTTCCCTTTCAAAAAACACAGCAGTGTTGTATCTGGCATCCGTGGGATAAAATACCTGTGGGGATTTATGAATGCAACCCCGTTATCTTTTTTTTTTTCTCCCTTAAGAGAAGGCAGTTGCTGTTATTGAGGCAACTGGCTTTCAAGTGTGTTATTAAAGCATTTATTTTTAATTTGCAGGATTTAACTTTTCTCACAGGCTTGTGCACATGCTCACAGACCAACTGTGTAACACACAACCAGGAGCCTGCCATGATCTGATAAGGGACTTCCCAAAGTTGATGCAGGAGGGGTGGCAGATGTGAAATAATCCAGCATCTAACACGGCTTATCCTCTTTATTTAACAGCAATTAAAAACACAGGAGAGGGTACTCTTCTGTCTGACTGGCAGGACTGACCTTCTCATTTAGCTAAATCTGCATCCACAGACAGTGACAGTCTCTTTTGTGAAAGGGAACTTACCTCAGCATGGTGGAGCTGCCTGTTGAATGAGGCTTCAAACTCATTCCTCACAGGAGGGAGGTCTCTGAATCACAGGGGGGCTCTGAAATTCAAAATCCACCTCTGCTGATTAAGAGAAAAATTGATTGTTAATGATGGTAATTCCCCCATCAGAATTCTCCTCGTTTTTCTCTGCCATGCAAAGAAGAAGCTGTTGCCAATTTGCATTAGGATAAGTTAGTCTGTCATAGTTAAACAAGAATGTGGTTGTCATTCACTGTTGATTACTGATTTCTCAGGAGATCATGCTTAAAGTGTTGCCTCCCTGTCAGACTGGAGCTGGGATTTAATCAGCATTGCAGAAAAGTATCCACAAAAGACAGAAGGAATAATTAATGTAATAGATTTCTCTTTCTGCCTTGTTTGTGAGGCTGTTTTATTTCCCCATTAAGATCCCCCAATGTGCAAAGAACTGTTTGGGTCTGGTAAGCCAGTTCTGTGACAGCTATGATATTATCAGCAAGGTTTTTCTCTGAGAAGTTATCAGCTTTTTTTTCCTTTTGCTTCTTATTGTGCTCTCAACCTGCCGTTGTACCATGACAAGAGTATTTATAACAGAGCATGTCAGATCTCAGATGCACAGTGGTACTGGGGGACTTCATTACCTTCACAGGGAACTGAGATTGCTCATGCCTTGCAGTTTCTGTGTGCAGCATTTACACACTACTCTGCACCTCTCCGTGACTTAACAAGTCCAACTTTCCTGTCAAAAAAAAGAAGATAAAGCTGGATCAGGTGAAGGAAAGATACACAGTAAGATTTAGCATCAAAACGAGAAAGCAAATTCTCTGTGATAAACACTGGGTGCATCTACACAAGATGCTAAATGGGCAGTATGCCAATTCTACTGTGTATTCGCATGTCACAAATATGCATTCATCAAGAGCACACACCAACTGCTGAAACTTCCTTAGCCTGATGAAGGGTTTTTTAACCCGAAAGCTTGCTTAATAACTATTCTCCAACCATTTGGGTTGGTCTAATAAAAGATATCAAATTCATGCAAGGAACCTTGTCTGCCTATGTCCTTAGACCAACACGGCTACAACCCAAACGCCTGCATTCATCAACTGTGCATTAGTCTCACTAAAAAACTGTGCTGGTACTACTGCGTAGTAGTGCTAGTTACTGCATATTGAGCTAAACTTAATGCACAGTAACAACGGTGCATTCATGCACATGCAGATGTGCCCAGTATGGGTAAAAAACGCTCACTTCTTTTTTCTTAAATCCAATTTAATCTGCCCTCCTTCTATGGAATTGCTTTGAAAGCAAAAAACCCACTCCCCAGTTGCCAGGAACAGTTTATAATACAGCATATGCCAACAAAGTGAGCTCTGAAAAGATTGTCTGTGCACTGGCCTAATAATAATGGCATTTCTTTCATGCTCTGTAATGTAATGGTTCATTTTGTCAAGTAGATTCAAAGATTCATAACTACAAGCTAATTGGCTGTGACTCTTATTTGTACCACAGTCGGGGCAGACACCAATTAATACTTGGCAGACTCAAAAAATCATACAACCCTTCTGACACTCAGAAGACACTATTCTTTTTTTTTTTTTTTTAATTCTCTTTTCATTTTTGAAGTTGAGAGAGAGATCAAACACCCAGATTGGACAGGAGACTAATACAGCTTCTTTGTAGACTCTCTCCAAACCTATTTAAAGAACAAAGCCTGAACACTAATGAATATGAATACCTTAATGTGACACTTTATTACTGCCATTTGCTGAAGCTGGTAAGATAAATTTAAAAAATAGAAAGATGAAAGGTAACTTGGTGGGTTGAAGAATTACACGATTGTTTTAATTTAGAGATTAATTAGTTCTTTGTTTAAGACTTTCTGATATGGTGATATAGGTAACTGAGAAAGAAGGGACACAAGAAAAGCAGGCAATAGGCTGCTAGGCTCTTTCACATTACAGAAGAACTGATTTGATTCCTGATAACCTGAGTCAGGCAGATAATGTAAACACAGCAGGCACTAGCAATCCATCAGATCCTCTGGCGACACAGACAAACATATCTCAAACTATTCCTTACTGCAGCGATTCCTCCCATGCCCTAGATGAGATAACTCACTGGCCCTCACAGACTGGTGGCCTTCATTTCCTTGTAATTTGTCAGTTTTCAAAATAGTGAATAAAAAAATTAAAATTCCTATACTGTAGAAAAAATGTGATTCACACTGAAGTGTGAATCTCCCCCACCCTGGCATTTCCCTGCTTGTTTTTGCTTATTCCTTTGTTTTAACTTGTTTACAAAGTGCTGGCAACTACCCACACTTAAGGATCTATTCCATTTACTTCTGTCAATGAAGAAAGATTTAAACACATGACTCCCAGTGTGGTCAATGGTAGTTAACCACATTGAGCCCCTATGGATGAATGCTGGACGACAAATCGCTTTATTTTCAGTAGGTGAATCATGTAGCAATATAAGGTCTTTGTCCTTCAGAGTGGAAGAAAAGCCAAGATAAGGATGGGGAAGCAAAGCTTTTAAAGCAGTGCTTCAGCTCTACTCTGGTGTCATGGGCAGTAGAGCAGGTTGAAACTGATTTGTATCATCACAGATCCTCACAGACGAGGAGGTGAGCGACTCCATACCAGCTATGAACTGATGGCCCAGAGGAGTTTTCCATCTAGTGACGGTGAAATCCTATGAAATATGAGCTTTCATTTCTACCCAGGAGAACTTTTACAATCTTTTCTCCAGTGCCTGATGAAGGGTGTTTGTGCCTGAAAGCTTGCAACTGAAGAATTTTTTTTGCAAAAATCTTGTTGGTTTAATAAAAGGTATCATCTCTACTACGAGTCCCAATTGCCTTTTCCTCTAGACCAATATGGCTACAACCTGGATACTTGAAACTGTAGACACCTGAAAAGTCTACGATCCAAATACAAGGCTGTGTATTATGACACGTTGCTCTAATGGCCTGAGGTCAAATCGCAATTCATCCTGCTTGCTCACTTGGTGCCAGGTGAGGCAACGGATGATTTGTTCAGTCACTAGGAAAATCAAATTGGCTGCTCTGTGGCTGTATACCATGACCACCATCTAAGGTTACAGAAGGAGAAAGAAATGGCAGCAATAGTACAAAAACACTACAGATTTGGCTCTTCCTAGATTTCGAGAGCATTTGGAGACTGGATGAAAAAAAGCAGCGGCAATGTGCTTTGCTTCATATTTATGCCTTATTACTTCTTGCATTTCCTCAGTGGAGGCACTCAGGTTATATGTGGGTTTTCAGAAGGTAATGGCAACTTTGAAATAAAACCACTTTGGGTGTAATAGTCATGTGCTGGCCACATCACTGCTTGACACAGTCATAAACAATAGATGTGTTTGATAGTGCCACCACCAGTGTTCCCTGCTCTGTGGCTTCCTGCTTTGTCACAGACATACACCATAGGCAGTGATTTTGCCATTAGTTTTGGAAACACCCTTCTGTAAGAAATAGGTTGATCAGATAAGCAGCATCTGAATTCCTGGGACCTTAATTGAATCAGTCAAATTCCAAACCTTATGAGATTTGCTCTTGACTATCATGAGGTATTAAGGATCTGTTTTTCAAAGATGCTGAGCTCCCTGAACCCAAGCCAAAAAACAGGGATTGCTGCAGGTACTTAGGATTCCTGTGATCAGACAGCTCCAGTTCTCTGGGGTCCATCAGAATCTCAGCAGTGATTTCCTTTTCCTCTGACCCAGGAAATCTTTTATGCACCCCTGGTGGAAAGCCGCAAAAGAAACATATTCTTAAAAGGGGCACACGCTGGGATGCTCCCAGGGTAACACAGCGGAATTATTAGCAATTAATCCCTTTGCTCATTTCATTTGTTGTTTAAAGTATGTCAGCATCATATTGTGAGTGAGAAATGTACTCAGAGACACGCAGCCTCATCAAATTAGTTCCTTGCAATAGGTTATAGATCAAAACATCAATGAGATGTAAGATTAGTTAATATGCCATAAGCAGCTAAATGAAGTTTTGCATTGAAATGTGTGATTTGCTGCACCTTAAACAAGGGGATAATTGCTTCTCTAATTATAATTGAGCTGTTTCTCATAGGAGTTTAATTGGAGTACAGGGCAGAGCATACAACTTGGTGACCCAGTTGAGCTTAAAAAATGCCCGTTTATTTATCCACATTTTTGTCTTTAATCAGGAGGGAGGAAAAAACCCACGAAGGAGTCAAATGGCAAAAGAAGTTGTTTTGCCAAGATGGGTGTAGCACAGATTTTATTCAGTTGCTATAGCCTGGGCA